CTTGTATATTTTAGATCAATTTTCTCTTAGAAACTATTTTACATGTGTCATGAAATGTTGGGCACTAGTCAGTTGATTTGAGACAACCAACATCTTGTACAAGACTGGAATGATTTACTAACCTTTTTAATGGCTGAAAAAGTTGCTGCAGAAGCAAACACGAACAGATATTGATGCCCTGCTATGATTGCTGTGAACATGCATCCTTCTACAAGCAATGTTTCAACAGTGTAACCTTTAGGTTTGTCCAGAAGAGCCATTCAGAAAGATTTGATCGGTATAGAAGCAATGACAAGTACCAGCAGCCTTTCAACTAAGTTAGCTTCGATGAAATCACATTCCATTTACTTGCACTGACATCTGTTTACAAATTGGTTGACATTTTCACATGGCATATGGTCAGGTTTACTGTGACCTTAAGGTGATCTTCCAGGACCTGGAAAATCTTGTCAGCAGAGGGATATGGATAGGTTTAGTGAATAGGCAAAAATGTGAGGTTATGCACTTTGGTAGAAAGAACAGAGGAGCTGAACATTTTTTAAAATGGAGAAAGATTGCAGAAAGCTACATCACAGGGGAATTTTGGAGTTCTCATGTATAAATCATTAAATGCTGGCATACAAGTTCAGCAGTAAATAAGGAGGGCAAATGGAATGTTGGCCTTTATTTCAAATGGAGTGGGGTATGAAAATTGGAAGGACTTGCAAAAACTATACAAAGACACGAGTCAGACTACACCTAGAATGGCATGAACGGATTTGGGACGTAATCTAAGGAAAGATATACTGGCATTGATGGCAGTCCAGAGAAGCTTCATTAGGTTGGTACCAGGTATGGACGGACTGTCTTATATAGGTTGAGTAGGGTGTGCTTACACTCATTGGAGTTTAGGAGGATGAAAGGTGACCTTACTGAAATATACAAGATTCAAAAAGGGAAGGAGGCCCACAAAAATGTAACTGTAGGCCAGTTAGTTTAACATCCATTATTGGGAAAATGGTAGTGTCTACTATAAAGTGTGCAATAGCAAAGCATTTAGAAACACAACATAATCAAGCAGATATAATCTAGCATGGCTTTAGTAGAGAGCCTGATAGGGTAGGCGCAGAGAGATCGTTTCTCCTGTAGGAGAGGCTAGTGCCAGAGGCCATAATCTCAACGCAAGGATAGATTAGTTACGACAGAATGAGGAAGAATTACCTTTCATACAGTAGCGAATTGGTGGAGTTCTTAACCAGAGGGCTCGAGAGGCCAGGTCATTAAATACATTCAAGGCTGAGATACACTGCTTTCTAATCAGGAAGGGATTCAAAGGTTATGGGAGAAAGGTAGGAAAGTGGAGTTGAGGATTCAGATCTGCCATGATCTTACTGAATGGCAAAGCAAACTCGATTGGTAAAACGTAGGATTCAGCCTATCATTTAATAATTAATAACCTCAAACTTTTTGTTGATTTAAGAAAGCCTGTTTAAATTGGGTCCTTTTAAAACATACATTCATTTTGATCTGGGAAAAAGGTATCCACAAGGGAAGGGACATTTTTCTCAAATTAGTCTTGATGCAATCAAATGTGTGGTGAATAAAGGGGACCCAGTTCATCCCTCCTCAGCCGACAGCTTAACAGTATTAGGTATCCCGTCTGGAATGATAATGAGTTGGGGAATTTCGCTTGGCATCTGGCTGCAACACTGAGGTGTTATGGGGAAGAAACTGCCTAGTGGAATTATTGGTAGACTACTAACCCAGAGACCCACATAATGTTCTGGGTTTAAATCCCACCATAGCAAATGTTGGAAAATGAGTTAAATAAAAATCTGGAATTGAGAATCTAATGATGACCATGAAACCATTACGAATTTGTGAAAAAACCAAACTGGTTCATAATTCCTTTCGAGAAATTTCTGTCCTTACCTTGTCTAGCCTACATACAACTCCAGACCCACAGCAATGTGACTGACTCCTAATTGTTCTCTGGACAATTAGGGATGGGCAATGAATGCTGGCCTAGCCAGTGATGCCCAAATCCCATGAGCGAATGAAAGAAAAGAGTCCTTCAGTGTTTTCTATACGTTAACCCTGGTAACATATAGCACAAAGAATCAGGCTTGGATTGAGTCAGATAACTGGAACTTTATTAATAAATTGGCTACATAGACTACACAGGTTAGAGCTGCATATACATGAAGTACTTCACATACTTAGATTATTGTTAGACTACACACAGAGTTAATCAATTGGTCAGCAGACTGTCTGTCCACCTGAAGTGCCTTTTGGCACAGTGTATTGATTTACTAAATTTACCACTTTTAATGCCTTTATTCCTTCTAAAAATTCTTCTCCACTCTAATCGCATAACAACACATGATCCTCATTCTGTTCCCTGAAATTCAAGGATGCAAACTTGAACTTCTTTGATAAATAAATGATTTAACTTTTATCATTCTGTTTAGATCACTTGAAAAAATAATTGGGATATGGTCATCATCACAAAAATTAGTGACAACTGAAAGATCATTCAGAATACAGACATTATGTCAGACTTTAGCCCACTATAAACAGTCTTGATAAATTATCCTTACCACAAACATGAAACATGGGGAGCTAGTGGACACTTTGATTGAAAGATCTACACCACACATTTAGCAGCTTCTACTATTTCCCTTCTTTCTTCAGCACTTAGGGACAAATGTCTGCAAAAATTCTCTCGTATCCTATTCTTGAAGTAACCTCTCTACATTCCATCCCATTTCATTCAACGATCTCTCTGAATATAACCTGTCCATTGGACATACCTTGTGCGCCCTGATCCTATTCCAGGTGAACTGTCGATCATTCGACTTGCCTTACTGAGCTCCATATTTATTGATAGTTAAACAGCATGGAGGCTCAGTGGTTAGCACTGCTGCCTCACAGCGCCAGGGACCTGGGTTCAATTCCAGCCTCGGGTGACTGTCAGTGTGGAGTTTGCACATTTTCCCAAGTCTGCGTGGGTTTCCTCCAGGTGCTCTAGTTTCCTCCCACAGTCCAAAGACATGCAGACTAGGTGCATTGGCCATGCTAAATTGCCCATAGTGCCCAGGGATGTTTAGGTTAGGTGGGTTAGGCATGGGAAATGTAGGGGTAGGGGAATGGGTCTGGGTGGGATGCTCTTCAGAGGGGCAGTGGGGACTTGTTGGGACAATTGGCCTGTTTCCACACTGTGGAGATTCTATGATTGCTATGATGATGATAAACAGCTCACTTGAAATCGGCTATCACTCTTCTCCTCCAAAAATGTATTCTTTGCTCCTCTGTACCAGTCAGTTGTCTTCCCATTTCCTCTCCAAAATTACTAAATGTATTGTTGTGTCACAAATAACTGCCTATCTTTTCCACCTGATTGTGTTTGAATCCTTTAACTGAGTTTCTAATTTGGTCACAAAACTGAACAATCATTTTTAAACAAACAAATGACATCCTTTCTGACTGTGACAAGGATATTTCTCCACATTGTTCCCAGCCTGCCTGCAGCTTATGACAGGATTACAGCATGCTCCTCAAAACCTTCCATGATCAAAGCGAGTAGAATGCCCTAAGTTCCATTTCTTTAGCACCCACTAACCAAGTAATTTTAGGAAAGACCATACAACTGTAGACTCATGGCACCAAACAACATTTTCTCAGCAAATGAATGATTCCTTTATTTAGTGCTGGTGGGTCATTCCTTCTACATTTTCAGCTGTAGAATGCTAAGATATGTGGTATCATCTGGATCATTTAGTGCCAAAATAGCATCATTGCATTATTCATCATTGTATTTTGATTGATATCAGATAATGAGATTCCTATTAAATTTATATAGGCTCAGCTAAAAAAAAAAAGATGCAACTTGATAACAAAGCGACAATGTTCATTCCTTATCTAATTCAGGTAAATAAATTTTCTTTCTTCAAATAACTTCGCATTTGGCAGTTTGGGCGAGTGAAAAACTCAGTCAATATCAGCACTTCAGTGAATTCATTCTTTCCCTAAACAATTGTAATAGTGAGTAAAGATAATGCCATTTTTACTATAATACTGAATTACTCCTCCTCCATTATAGTACAATAGTAACATTAATCTTCTGACTTATCATAGTATAAACGTCAAAGGCTGAATTAACAACAGAGCGCAGGAATAAATGCTCTTAACATTTCCTTGCCATACTCTTAAGTTGTCAAAAATTATGAGCGATAACAGGCCTCCTAACCAAATGAATCAATTATAAATTATAATTATGGCTGCTTAATAGCCAATATTGCACTGCTGAAAATTTCCACTGTCGCATCCCTTTACTACTTCAGTAGTCTAGGATACGTGCTCTGGTTTCTACAGTGGGATTTAACCTGCAACATTCTGACTCAAAATCAAGAATAGCACCATTTTCTGACTAAACAGTGAAATCTAAATTTTTGTCTTTGGAGGAAAGAGGTTTTGGCATTTTTGATGCCAAGGTTATCTTCCATTCATTGAATCTGACCCTTAAGGCCTGTCCCTGTGGTTGCAGCAAGCATCTCATCTCATCTTATCTTGACGTCATACAATAACAGGAGGCAAAGAAGGCAGAATTCACATTCTCCTATTGTTGGGATTAATTTGTAAAACTTGATTTAAGCATTTTATATTGAAAATGACTTCATCTACTGGGCTGAAACCACTGGCTGATTTTTGAGAGACAGGACTGCAACATTTTTTTTTGAAACTGACAAAAAGACACAGATGGCTGAACAGGTGCATACAACTTCCAAAGCTGTTAAAAGTAGTCAGATTGTCTAGAGAAAACATCAGCTAGGATGACCTTAGATGAACGTGAATGGCCATCTCTTGACCCATTACTGTTGCTGGTAACAGCTTTAACATCGGAAAACCAGGCATCAACAACTGTTAACTTGCACAAGTTTCATGGAATACTCATTCAAGCAAATCATACATTACATTATACATTTATACCTTTTAGAAGAAATAATCTGGTTGTTACCTACTTTTCCAAAGCCACAGCAATATCCTGAAAACCCTGTGCAGTTATGTTATTCTTGTCCCAAATTACTGTCCTGTGGAAAAAGATCAGCCACATTTTAAATAATGCACAAACTAAGTTTAATTCACAAAATCTTGCCCAGACACCAATATACAAATATAAATAAGGCGGCATAATTTTTGGTACCATCTAATTTTCCTTAGTATTTCTCCAACAGTTTACAACTCAGTTGCAATGTTTGGCTACAAACTACCTGTACTCTTCGAGGCCACAACACACGGTCCCAAAGGAAGTTGCCCAAGCAGGTTTAGAAGTCAATTAGAGGACAGCTATTATTGTTAAATGACTCTGAATTGGTTGCTGTTATTTTTCTCTCCTTGCTATCTCAATCTCTGCAGGTCATCAAATTAAGAATAAACAAGAACAATCTAAGCTTTCTTTTTCTAATAACACAAAATATCCATATAATACATAATTCAATCCTGAAAGAAAATTGACAGGTGTTTAATTTTACCTGAGTTTTGTGTTGATCTGTAAGGCCTTCCCAAGCATCTTAGCGCCAATGTCTCCCATTCCATTCCCACTGATGTCCACCTTCGTCAAAGTAGAATTGCTCCCCAAAGCATTAATTATTATTGTTAGTTCAGTCTTAAGCTTTGAATCTGCTAGCGATAGTGACTGTAGGGGCTACAAGGAATAAAAAGAAATGTATCAGCTTTAACTTATCAGTTACTAATGGTGTATAAAATTTGTTCTCTAAACACAAAAAGTGTGCAATTTTACATGCACAGAGTAAGCCTGAGATAAATCTCATTGTCGGTTCAGTCCAATCAGTTCCCATTCAGATTTCCTGCCTCACTGATTTCTGCAGTATTTAGCAGGTGATTCCAATTAACTAGTCCTCCAAGTTATTTCGCCATTCATTAAAAAGTGCTTCACCTCTGCTTATACCTAAAAACTTGGTGTATGGGCCATCAATGATACAAACCAACATAGATGACAATAACTCTTAGATGGCAAAATGTATTAGTATATTGACATACCAATCCAACAATTACATTTCTTAAGATTTTAACACACAAATTTATGGTTGCAAGTCATCATTTAGTAAATATTCCAGGGGCTCTCTGAAGCATAGTTATTGTTCTGTCCAGCAGTATTCAGCCAACAGCACAAGAAATATTGCTGCACATATATAAAGCACATAACTTAAGGTTCATTTTCTGATAATCATGAATAGTCACAGTAGAAAAATGTTAATTCACCTTCATTACACTAACACTAGCTGGAAGCATCGTTAACCCTGGGGAGTGCTGCAGATCTTGAAATGTTTCAAAAGTCCAGAAATGAATTTTGTAATTTATCTATATTAAACGCAATCTTATTAGTCATTTTGGTTCCTTCTTAAATTGGGATTTCAATGGCGACTATTGTCTTCTTTAGTAGGCTGATTAAAAGAGATCATCCCTACAGTGAATGTCACTATTTAAATGGTTCAAATAATTTTGGTTCTAATCAGCATCTAATGCATGCTCAATAGTTTTCACTGTATGATGTTTTGCTAAAATTCCCAGAGCAAATGCAATCTGAAGAATACAACCCATTACCATAAATGAAAGGCACTTCTGAAATGGATATTTGGGTCTACATGAAGATGCTATCTCAAATAAAGAATCCTAATATTTAAGAAGAGACCAGGAGCCCATGTTCTAGACTCCCCAGTCAGGAGAAACATTCTTTCAGCATTTACCCTGTCAAGTCCCCCAAGAATTTCTAAACTCTGGAGTATACGGGTATAATCTACTCCACATCTCCTCATCCTTGAAACCAGTCAAGCAAACCTTCATGGTATTTCCTCCAGAACAAGCATGTTCATCTTTAGGTAAGGGGTTCAAAACTGTACTTAATATTCCAGATCAAACCTCACCGGTGCCTTGTAGATTTGCCACGATATTTTTTTTACTTCTATACTTTAATTCGTTTGTAACAAAAGCGAACATACCACGCATTCATAGTTGATGCTACAATTGTTTATAAACTTTATGATTCAGGTAAAAAGACATCCAGATTCAAAGTATTCTCTACTTTTACTTTTCTGACCAAGAGTGATACCTTCACACTTTAACATCATATTTTATCTACCATATTCTTGCTCATTCATCCAAGCTCTCCAGCTTCTTCATAGATATTTTCTAATTAACATATTCAGAGACGTTAATAAAACCCGCTGGTACAGGTGGGATTTGAACCCAGGTGTCCTAGCTCAGAGGTAGGGATACTGCCACTGCACCACAAAAATCTTAGTTCTGTCATCTATTTCAGTCTATTTTTCTCAAGCTGTTCAGGGATGTTACTATTCACCTCTGGAGTAGGTCAGATTTGAACCCTGGCCTCCTGATTCAGAGATAGAGACACTACCACTGTGTCATCAACAACAGCCCTCTGTTATTGATGCTTTCCTATTTTACTAAACAACCTGTTCAGAGAGGTTATTACACACCTGAGGCAGATGGGATTTGAAACACTGGCCTCTTAGTCCAGAGACAGGGTCACTACCACTGCACCACAAGAGCCCTTTGTTACTGTTGTTAGGTTGGTTAATGTATTAACTGCGCCTGAAATATTGCGTACAATTTCAGTCCACTTTACTTGAGAAGGGATGTAGTTGTATTAGAGGTTCACTTGATGGATTCCAGAGATGAAGGACATACCTTAAGAAGACAGATTGAAGAGTTAAAGCCTATACTCTCTAGAGTTTAGAAGGATGAAAGGAGATCAAATTGAGGTACATAAGATGCTAAAGGACATTGACAAAGTAGACGTAAAAAGAATGTTTCGTCATGTAAGGCAACCTAGAACAAGACGACAGGTTAGGATAATAGATATCAAATTTAAAATGGAGATGAGAAATTACTTCTCCCAAAGAGTCGTGAATCTATGGAGCTCAACTCCGGACTGCGGTGGATAATGGGACATTGAGTAAATTTAAGGAGGAGATAGACAGATTGTTAATGAGTAATGGGTTGAAGGGTTCTGGGGAGTGGACAAAGTAGAGTTGAGGCCAAGGTGAGATCAACCATGATAGTATCAAATGGTGGAGCAGGGTCAAGGGGCTGAATTACCTGCTTCTGTTCTTCCTTCTTATGATGTCTTTTCTTCCTTCTTACACAACAGGACCATGCTTACTACCTTTCAAACCTTGGAACAGATTCTAAAGTTTAAGAAATTCTCAAAAGTTCAAAAACAATATATCTACTACATCTTCAGATCCTCAAAAATATTTGATGCAGACCACTGGACTGAGGGAATTCCACATCTGCTAGTCCTACCAACATCACCAGTACAATTTCTGCACTACACTGACATCATTAAGTTCCTCATGCTCTCCAGACAACGGTTCCCTGGTACATCTGGAATATTTTTTTCATCTTCCACCACGAAGACAGATACAAAATATTTAATGTCTGCCATTTCCTTATTCCCCACTACAAATTTACCTGTGCCTCAAATGGGCCCATGTTTACTGCCACTAGCTTACAAACATTTAGAATTCATTTTTATATCTCTTATTAGTCTACTCATTTTCTTTTACCCTTCCAAACAATAATCCTAGTCCACCTTTGCTGAATTCTAAGCCTTAGAATTCTCAAATAACTAACTTTTTTAAAGGAATACTGTAATCTTACACCTTTGATCCAATATTAACTTTTTTCTTATGTTAACTTTGACTAAGTTTTTGTGCCCTAAAGGAATGGGTTGCAAATTATGTATTCATTTGTTAAATGCTAGCCATTGTTGGTCTGCCTTCCTGTCTTTTAATGGAGCTTCCCATTCTTGTTTTGTTGAAATTTAAAGCATTCAGAACGACTTTGCCATTTTGCAGTAAACAAATAACTACTGCAGCAACTTATATTTTGAATATTCAATGAGTACACTGGTTTTCAAGTACTACATATGGCATGAGATTGCAAAGAGGAACCAAACAGACAAGAGTAATACCATAAGGTAGCAAAAAAGACTTTTCTATCTCTATTAAAAGAAAGTCTTAACCATAAGATTCTTATCCAAACACCAGGCAAAGAGCAACTGATGGGGAATAGAGAAGTACATGAATAGACTTCTGTTGCAAGAAAAACAGACTCTGCATTGGGATAATAATGAACACAGTACAATAACAGTTCAAGTTGAATGAGCAAAAATATGTACGTAACCTGCCATCATTTGGGTACTGATACAATGTTGAGTCAGAACCAAATCATTAATATATACCTTTTACCTCTATTTCTGAAATTTCTTTTATTCTAAGAGAAAACAAAAATCGTAGATGTAAGCTCAGGGACTGCCAAAGACCTGTGTGAAACCCACAGAATATCACATTTGTAAAGTGTCAGGGAAGCTTCAAACAGAGATACATCATCAACAGACAGCAAGGGAGCTTACTATTTCCTCATCCCCAGCAGAAATCCATCCCTTGCAGCATTTCTGCTTTACCCTCCAAGAATAGAGGAGAGGTTAAAAACCTCTTTATAAATGATTAAGCTTTATAAAGGAATCTTATTATGGACAGATTTGAGATCATCATGATTTGCAGATATGAAATCTTGCAGAATTAAAGGTTAATAATCAGTTTTATATGACATTGCAGTAACAGGCTTCCCATTATAAACAGGATGGATTAGAAGTACTATGCAAAGTAAAGCTTGCTTTCTGCTTTGAGAAGCTACCTGCCATACACAAAAACTGTTTCCATAGGGACTACATTTCAATAATCATATCAGCCATGTGTTAAGAAATAACCTTGCTAGCTAATAAACCAGGGTGGAGGATCCATTAACCATTTTATAAAATAGTAACAGTTATTCTTCAGAGGTTACCAACAGTAGATCACAAATTTTTGTTTGACTAAAGTATCCTTAAAGCAAATCAATTGTTTATGTGAATAGAATGATCTTCAAAAGGATTTCAGAACAGACAAGTCACAATATCTCAACTGAGATGTGTATCTTCATGCACTATATCTTATCTAATATGAAAGGAACATTGTGTGCAACTTTCAGAAAGCTTGAAAGATACAGAAACCAAGGAGCTGCTCTCTATACCTACATTGAGGCTAATTAATTGTATGAATAACATTCGGTTTTGTAAACTCCACCACCTTGTATTTATTGAAAACATGGTCTTATCAATCAGAGAAGGAAGAAGGTTCAATGCTAACCTAAAAAAAGGCAAGATCATTGTGTTACTTCAAGACATAATTGAATTTTAAGATTCTAGTCTGTCAAGAACACAAGCCGCCAATGACATTTGGCAAGGAAAATATTGTTAAGGGTTTATATTTCAATGGAGGTGAAAACACATTAGCAACATTATAGGTGACATATTTTATAGATGAAATGGAGTGGGAGGCTGACAAGGAAAACAATAGAACCATCAGAGCAGTAAAATGGAGCATCACCAGGGCATACATTAGTAAATTGCATTTACAGTTGAGGTTAAGGTCTTAATGCTGTTAAGGTTATGAAAAAGAGAAGAAATTAACATTGAAATCAAATAGTACATAAAAGCATGGAAAATGTAGCTTTGTCTCCTAAAGCTTCATTTTCCATGTTTTTATGTGCTTTTGAAGACAAAGCTATATCAACACTGATAGCTAACAGTAGAAATAGAATGAAGGAGTTGAGACTGGAAGAGTTGAGTGAAGAAGCTCTTTCAACATTTATAACATGGTCAGCAGGGTCAAAGGAAGTAAGAAAGACAAAGCAGAACGAGAACACAGTCAACAAGCCACAGCTATAAACATATAAGCCATCACTTGTGATTGGACTAAGTGAGCTTAAGTTGCAGTAAAACGGTAGGCTGATTGCAGAGTATTGAAAGGAGTGATCCAAAATGAAGAGACATAGTTCAGGACATTAAAAATAACATTTTGAAAATTGAACACTTTTTCAAAATGTTTGATGTACTTTTGAACAAATGGTAGGGACAAAACAAAATAGGAACAGGCTGATAATATCAGTGATCGCTGGAGCAAGAGAAGTTAGGTAGTCAGCAGCTTAGACAACAGAAGATTGAGAGAGCAAGCCTCATGGATTGGATAAGTTTGTTGAAAGTGAAAAATATGAGCTATGCACAAATAAAGAGATGGTAGAAGAGGCATACAAATGTTTGAATTCCTTTTTCTAACACACAGTATATTCCATGAAAACCAAGTGGAGAAGTACTGGAAGCAGGCAGGGTCCTAAATCTTAGAAGAAATAGGATTTTCAGTTTTTATTTTCCCGTGGGGAAGGCATTGCAAGAATCTGGCTGACTAAGGATTCAATCTAGAATTCAAAATACTATTTATTTGTATTTCTACGGATAATAATGAAAATACAGCTGATTTTGAAACTTGATGCCGAGTGCCAATTGTGTTATGATGAACTCTATCCAAATTATTTAGTAAACATGGATGACATTACTTGAGGTAACAACATTTGATTTAAGCAAACATCTCAGGACATAAATGTAACTTCAATCCTTAACTGGATATTAATTCAGTTTTTCTGTATTGCTGTAAAACAGATTAGCATCCTCTATTCATTTCTGATTTATCTAAAATGCCAAATCTCATTTAAGACTTAATCTTATACTCCTAATCTCTAGTTTGTATTTCAACCCTTATTCATACCTTTTATAAAGACTTAAATGTTGCTCTCACTTAATCATGCTTCATTCAACTCAAATAATTTTAAGTTCCAAAATTATTTTGTTACCTTGCTTTGTACATTAACATCTCCCTCTTTAAAATATTCTAAATAGGCTTTTACAACTGCAGTATAACAACCCACTGAAATTTCTGATCTGGTAACTTCAGCACTTGGGGCTGAATTCCGTGTTTCCCCATTGACAGGTTTGAAGCCATGGAACTTGTCGGACCCGGAGTACAGCCTGCCCTTCATATACTTGCAACCCGACAAACAGCAGGCCAATCGTGGACCTGAGGTAACAATGTTTGACATGATTTCTCCTTGTCAGGCCTCGTGGTATTATCGCTGGGCTGTTAATCCAGAGACCTGGATAACATTCTGGGGACGCGGGTTCAAATCCAGCCACAACAGATGGTGGAATTTGAATTCAATAAAATATCTGGAATTAAGAATCTAATGATGACCCATGAATTCATTGCCAATTGTCGGCAAAAATCCACCTGGTTCACTGATGTCCTTTAGGGTCTGGCCTACATGTGACTCCAGACCCACAGCAATGTGGTTGACTCTGAACTGCCCTCTGGGCAAATAGGGATGGACAATAAATGCTGTCTAGCCAGTAACATCCTCATCCAGTTAGTGAATAAAAATAAACATAAGAGCTTAACTCCCTCACCCCTGGGATATAATCAAGATTAGGAGATGCTGTCATTATACAGCCAATCCAGTTCAGTTTTTATCCCAACCAGTTGTCCTTTTGGCATGGCCTCTGAAGCCCCAGCTCCTTGTCATCCTTGCCAGGTAGGTACTTGGAAAGGTCCCCAAACTCATACCCAGATCATGAGCCAATCCAATGATTCATGCCTCTGTCCTGAAATGGAGAGCTGACAGCCCGAGTGGTTGATCCAAAGGAGTGGAAGTTCCACTCCCAGCCTATTAACAGCCAACTGGCCATTAAATTGTTGCAGGGTGATGGGTTTCCCTCATGTGGCTCCTCCTTTCCCCTCTCGACAATGTTTCAGATGGGGGTGCAGGAAATCTGGTACTTTATATATAATTCACTTTAACATCTCATATTGAATATGCAAATTATTGCTGTCAGCTGGACTTTCAAACCTTTCTCCCACTTTCACTCTTACTGGTACACATCCATTCACTCATGTTCCACAACAAAAATGTTTCCCGACTGACAACATTAAGGCTCTGAATGGAACTGATTTAAAGTAATGATGCAAGTAATGAGAGATAGTAGGAACTGCAGATGCTGGAGAATCCGAGACAACAAGGTGCAGGGCTGGATGAACACAGCAGGCCAAGCAGCATCATAGGAGCAGAGAGGCTGACGTTTCGGGCCGAGACCCTTCATCAGAAAAGTAATGAACTAGCTTTTCTCCTTATATCTATTGTATCCCTTCTTAATATTCAAAAAGACAAAATGCCCCACCATTCAACACAAGATTGTGCAGTTATGATTACAATGTCTGTAATATCATGTAGAGTTCAGTACTGTAAGACAATCTTTTCTCCACAGCCCTTGAAACCATGTAATTCCCCCACCTCCCTATTCTCTCATCCCTTCTCTTCGAAATTCTCATTTAAGTAGTAATGTGGGTTAAAACAGAAATTAGGTGAAGAAACATAACACTTGAAAAAATCTCAGGAACAATGCAATAGATGCAATCAGAATTTCAAACAGACTTCATCATGTATAAAAGCTGCAGTGAAAATATGACACACCATCAGTCAAAAACAGTTGCTTAAATTCCCAGTGAAAATTAAAATGCTACTTTTTAGGTGTCACAGTACCAATACATCCTACTATGGACAAATGATCACTCAAATCAGTGAGAGTCTCAGTGTATTGGAGACTAATGGTTCCTCCAACTTCAGTAATTTTGAGAATTAATTTAGAAATGAAAGACTCAAATACCAGCAGTTGTAATTTTGGGATCCCTTCCACAACAATTTAAAAAGCAATGTATTATTTGTAATCAATTTTGTGACATGTTTAGTTTAAAAATCTCTAGTAGATAAAATAAGAATGTCATTTTACCACTAAAATATTAAGTCCAATATCAAAACCTTGCAAAAACTTACTGATTCTTCATCTTGAATCATCTGTACAATGTTATCAAGCACCGGTGCAAGATTCCTGCCAAAAAACAACGGAAAAAATACCATGTTGGAATGAAATTCTACAATCAATACACATTTAAAAATCCACCTCTCCAACTACACCTCCAAAGTCACTGTCAGATACTGACACCTTATGTATATATCTAGACAATGTAACAAGGCTATCTGACAATGGAGCAGAGTTAAGCCATATCCTATTCTTACAAATTATTTACACAAGTGATCTTTACAGCAAAATATTGTATAAAAGATCAGGAACATGAATTGTGGTTCATTTGCCCCCATCTGGTCCTAAGGGATACTGTGTGTTCACCACACTTGCTTTGCCTGAGATCAGCACACTTAGTATAGGTGAGGAAGTGAACATGGAACCTTGTTTGAGGAATGCACAAGAAGCACAGCACTAATAAGTTGAGGAAAGTGAGTACAGCAGTGAAAGTAAACATTAAACAGCAATTATTATTAACAGTATTACTGTAACAATGTGGATTTATAGGATGTCTTTAAAATTTTAAAGGTGTTTCACAATACTGTTAGCAAACAAAATATATGAGACTGAGCAAGAGAGATGCATTTTAGAATAAGTACAAGATCAACCTATGTGGCCTGTTCGGTTGTTCTATCATTAAATAAAATCATTCTTATCTTTGATCTCAATTCCACTTTCCTGGCCAAGAATTCCAAAAATTCACAACTCAGTGAATAAATTCCTCATCTCAGTTTTAAAGGACTGGCCCTTTGTTCTGAGACTACGTCCCTACTTCTAGTCACCCTCAGGAAACCCAAAAGGAGCTACCTCTCAAATCCACCAGCCAAATCATTTGGAATCTCATAAGTTTCAGTAACTAACTTTGGTTTTTTCAAATTCCAGAAAATATAAGCTCAAACTACTCAGAAGCTCTCTTTGCGGAAAAATAATCAGATCTTGTATTAAAAATACAAGTTGTAATATCAAAATATGGGTCAATAATCTTTTAAAACTCAGTTGCATTTAAGTGCAGTAGCAAATAAACCTTGGGATCTAATGACAATGCCAAGAACTTAAAATTAAATGGTAAACCATGTACAGATTTCATTGAGTACATGCTCTTTGATAGACAATATACTTTGTGACAGCAATAATACAAGTATCATATTTTCGAACAGTAACGCATATACAATTAAACATCAGAAGGGAGTCGAGAGCAGTTGTTGCCTTTGAGGTTAGAGAGAAAAGAATGATTGGATTTGGGCATGGGATGTTATTCTGCTCTTACTTATATATTTCCATTATAAGTGTCTTTATCCACAATAATGATGGAACTTGTCAGTACAAACACGTCCCACTACAATTACACACTCCAGCCAGTGAAAGGGAAAACTTGAGTAACATGCATCAGGAGGCATAATGCCATTTATGAAAATATACATTAATGTCTTTTGTAACAGTACAAATTTAATGTGGAAAGGGGCAAACTAATCACCATATGCAAATAAGTGGAAAACGCAGAAGAAAGCTCCAGTAATTTGCTCTTCAGTTGCTAAACCCAACTGCATTTATGGCAAGTCTCATTCACACATGGACACACGACAAATAAAGATGCAACACATGCTACACCACTACTTTCAGTTTGTTTTTATTCTTAAAAAAAGTTGTTTTTTTTTTTTTTTTTTAAATACACATTTCAGAATATCACTCATTGTTGATGCTAAATATCCTGTTTGGTATAACCTCAAAAGGACCAGGGTCAAGAAATAAAGCCATCAGCAAGGTCTAAAAGTATCTCAAACATATCAGTTCAAGAGTTTTCCAAGTTAATTTTTTATCTATATCAACTTAGAACCTGAAAGTGTCTTTATACTTACACCTCAAAGCAAATATAAATGCAATGCATTTCTGGTTGATATCGCAAGTTATTTTTATCATGCTGAAGGGAGTTATAATTGCAATCACCGCAACTATTGAAGACATTTTTTTCTGGACGAGTAAACTGCTGGATCCACTGACTATCCTCAACTGGCAACAATATGCCAATCTACCCAGAATCTTGATGGGCTACAACAGGCTCACCACTGTACCTTCTGAACTCAGATTTCTCGGATTTAAAGCATATAAATGAAAGTTTGAGCTCCTCATAGCCCAAACTGAACTCAATATTTCTCGACCTCAGTGGCTTGGGCTCTATTAGAATTGCTGCACTAGAACTGGCCTCTTACTTCTATAGCGCCATCATTGCAAAATGTACTAAAGAAATATTGATCATTATTTTGAAACTAGCTATTATCACCTCCACACACGTCAGACTCTAGTATCGTTACTAAAATATGACATGAAAACTATTTTTCAGTTGGGGATACTGTTGTGCTATTCTATTAATACTGGCATATCTCCAGAAACTTCCCAAAGTGTAACAGTCAACACACATGCTATTTAACCACTAATAGTGTTGGAATCACAGTGCAGTGGTAGTGTCCCCAATTCTTGGTCAGAAGGTCCAGGTTCAAGTCCCAACTGTTGTCAGAACATGTCCAAACAGAGTGATTAAAAATATGTAACCCTGCCCTTACTCTACAGTTAATGCTAGTACATATATTGCAATTAGAAAACAAGTTTTCTATTAAAACTAGAAAGTAAACTTTCTCTTTCCACTTCAGATAATAAAAGCTGAAGGGCAAATGGGCAGCTTTCAGACCTCCACTAATAAATACAAACTGGCTTCTAGTAGTTTCTGTACGTTCCTGTAAACAGCAAGATTCAATTCCTCTTCCTGCAGTGATTGCCTGGCCTACAGGGCTTTCCCACAGCCATGTAACAAGACCTGAATTGAAGGATCACAGTGATCAAATCTGCAGTTCACCACTTAAATGATACAGAATTTTGGAGTATTAAAAATGGGGTACTTAAATTCACTAACATTTTTATTTTCTTAAGCGTAGTCTTGAAAGCATGGTTTATTGTCAATCACATTTTCCAGGTCTAAATCAATTTGGCAAAAGTATTTAATGATGCATGATGTAAGCAAAGAGCTAACGCTTAGCCATGAAACCCTGCAGGACCTCAATCATGAAAATTCTGCAAGACCCTTAAGGTCGTCTATCAGACTTACTTCCAACAATTGGATAAATCCAGTCTTGATACTGTCATACTCAACAGGGTGTCAAGTGTTGAGAAGGAAGAGGTTAAAAAGTGTTCTTTATCTTCAAAAATGCCAAAGCTTCAATACCACACATAAGGTTACTTAATAAGATAAGAGGCAATAGTCTTAGGGATAGAACACTATCATACACACCATACATACATGACTGGCTAACAGAAGACAGAGTTGGGATGAAGGGGGCATTTTCAGGATAATGACCTGTAATTAGTGGAGTGCCACAGGGATCAGTGCTGGGGCCACATTAATTACAATATATATGTTAATGACTTGGATGAGAGAAGTGAAGGTTTCTGGATGATACAAAATCAGCTGGGAAGGCAAAACCTGAAGATGACATGAGGTGTCTACGGAGGGATATAGAGAGGTTAAGTGAGTGGGCAAAAAATTCAGCAGGCAGAAAAAAAATGTGGGAAAACTAGGGTTATGTACTTTGGCAGGAAGAATAGAAGCAATGAATATTATTTAAATGGGAAAACAACTGCAAAAATCTGCAGAACAGAGATTTGAAGGGGGTCCTAGTGCATGTAACACTAAGAGCTAGCATACATGTTCAGCAGTTATTGGGAAGACAAATAAGGGTTAACCTTCATTTCAAAGGGAATGGATTATAAAAATAGGCAGATTATGTGAAAACTATAAAGGTACTAGTCAGACAACAATTTTGGCCCCTTTACATAAAGCAAGATATACTAGCATTGGAAGCAGTCCAGAAGGAGGTTCACTAGGTCGACCCTGGACAAGGAGGACTTTTTTTAGGAGAGGTTGAGTAGGTTGTGCTTGTACTCTGAGTTTCGAAAAATAAGAAATCTTATTGAAACATGCAAGGGTCGGAGGGGGCTTGACAGGTAAAAGGGTAAGAGGTTGTTTCTCTTTATGGGACAGTCTAGGACTGGAAGGCATATTCTCAGAATAAGGAGTCACCCATTTAAGACAGAGATGAGCAGGAATCTTTTCTCAGAGGGTTGTGGATCTGTGGAATTCTTTATCACATAGGGCTGTTGAGGTTGGTCATTAAGCATATCCAAGGCCGAGATTAACAAATTTCTAATAGTTAAGAGAATCAAAGGTTGTGGCATAAGGCAGAAAAGTGCATTTGAGGATTATCAGATCAGCCGTGATCTTATTGAATCTGCTCTGCCATTTAATCGGCTGAACAATCAACTTCTGCTCCTATGTCTTATGGACTTACAGCACAGTCATAAGATCATATTAGCCACATTATGCAATAATATTTTTGATTATGATAGTAACACAGAAAAAGATCACAGAATCATTATGGTGCAAAAGGAGGCCATTTTGCTATTGTGTCTGTATTGGCATCATAAAATAATTCTCTGGATTGGCAGCAAGGTTAAACTTCGTTAAACATGATATTTTTGTATGAAAGTTATGCAGAATGTTAAGACAATCCAAGTAAATAATGCATTTACTTGATGACAATACAACTGATGTTTATTAGTCTGTTTCAGTTAGTTATCCACAAAAAAAGTACTTACTTGGACTTTATATTGTTGAAATTTTTGCCTAAGGCTAGATGGCGAATTGACCTATTCTTGCCCATCCACACTACAAGAGTAGCAAGATCGGAGTCTAAACCTGTACAAAACAAGGTTACATATTGTAAAAATGAACACGCTGCATAATCTCCAAAACAAAATGCTGCAATGTAGTCATTCATGATCTCATCAATGGTTTGCTGTACGTGTAGCAGAGAGCAACCAATAGGACAGCACAGCTGCTGTATAGGGAAGGAATGTAAACTATATTGTAACCATGCATTTTCTTTACAGCAAATCCTTGACTTCTACAACTTTGGTTCTATAATGTAAACTAGAAAGTGCATCCAAAAATGATGCAATCCACCTGAACAGATGCTTTATATATTTGTAACACCGGAGCTACAGCAGCAGTGGGAATACTGCCACTGGGGTTGTTAGTGCTGATTATTTTACGTGAGAGGGTGAGTTTAATTTTACAGCCCAGTGACGGGTCAGCTGTCTTAAATCATAAGGAAAAGTTTAAAAAAAACACTAGCTTTTATGTTGTGGTCATCACAAATGTCAGGATTTCACAAAGTGATTCAAAGCCAATTAACTACTCTTGCAGTCAATGCTGTAATGTAAGAAACACAGCACTCAATATGCATAATGCAAACTCCAATAGGCAGCAGACATAAATAATACAATAATTTTCAGCCATTGGTGTTTTTTTTTAAATTTCAGATCTCTAGCAGCTGCAGTATTTTGCTTTATTTTTAGTATATAATCTTCTCAGCTTTGCTGACTCAAAAACTGTTCCTTTAGATTCAAATTGTACATCGCTTTAAGAAAAGTGATTGAGAAATCAGTTAGCCTAATATCACTTGTCAAGAATTTACTGGTGTACAAGTAAGGCTGGAGGGTCTGAATGCTTGAAAATTTTCAGCTGTGTAAAGATAGCTAGCATGGATTTACAACAGGTAGTTAATTCCTGAAAGACCTGATTAAATAATTCGAAGAGTTTTTTGAAGTAGCGGACAGGGAAATTTCTAAGGATGTTCTTTATATACACTTCCAGAACAAGTCTGATAAATATCCTCATGGAAATCAGGGCAAATTATTGAATTATTTAGGAAATTGGCTCCATAGCAGGAGGCAGAATGTAAGTGTAATAAGCAGGTACTGTACCTGACAAGATGTGTTTAGTATTTTTTTTTAAATATATCACAACTGGGGCCTCAACTCATCATATGTGGCAACTCAGATGATAGGATAGAAAGCTACCTTCCAGTTTGCCAATAACTATATGTGACTTTGCAAGCAATATAGAGGGAAGTATAAAATTACCAGTGATTAACAGATTAAGCAAATGAGCAAAGCTGTCATAAAGGCATACCAATGCAGGCAAAGCCTATTTGGACCTAGAAAATACTTTGTTCTACTGTTTTTAAGTGGTAAGAAGATAGAAATAGTGGGGTTCCAAAAGACTTAAACATCCAGGTACAAAGATCACAAAAATATCATGGAGGAGAAATAATTAAAATGCAAAAAGAATTCCGGATTTTACATCTGGAAAACTACAACATAAAAAGGGGGAGGGGGAGAATTTATGTTTCAACGAAACCCTGGTTAGAACACACCTGGAGTACGACGAGCCATTCTGAGCACAGATTCTTAGGAAGGATATATTGACATTGGAGGAAGTAATGATAAGGTTTACCATAATCATATCTTAACACCAAGCATTAAATTACAAGGCAAGATTGCACAAATTGGGGTGTAAAGGCGGATTTGATCATAGTTTAAGATTACTTAAATTTAAGCAACAAAGGAATAGATTAGATAAAAAAGTAACTATTCCCATCGGGTGGAGAATCTGAGACTAGGGACCTAGTCCAAAGTGTAGAGACAAGTCTTTCAGGATTTAAATCTGGAATATTTCCGCAAACAAAGGGTGCTACAAGTTGGAAATGCTTTTCCACAAACAGCAACTGATGCTAGGTGAATTGTTATTTTCAAATTGGAACTGGATAGAATTTGGTTAACCAAGAGGTATGATGGAATTTGAGCGAAGGCTGGCTATTTGCAGTAGACTGCAGATCAGTCATTATCTCACAGAAGAGCAGAATGGACTCAATGAATTAAATGGTCTATTCCTGCTCCCAAGGTCTTAATTTCTACAGGTATCTGAAATAATCGGTGTTACCACCTGCCCACAAAGATCAATCAAAATTTCAATAAAACACCAAAGTTTGACAATGATAATAGGTTAAAATGAGATATTTTATATCAGGAGTGGAGGAGGGGCATAAACCTAGATGATAAAAATCTTACATATATATTGAATAAGCCATCTAGTTTAACATATACAAAAGGCAATATTCCAGGACAGCTAGTTTTGAAATAAATTTAACCCTGGGTGTGAATGGTACATACTCCAAGTTTTGCTGAGATTTCACTTGGTTAATGGAAGTGTGCAAAGACGATGAGTGGATTCTTCACATGATACATTAAATTAAACAGCTATATCATTGACTTATTGAAGATGAGACTCATTGTTAAAAAAAAATCAAAAATAATTCTTCTTACCATTGTCTGAAATATCCAGTTTTGATATATTATGGACTTCTGCAATGCAACCTTCTAAAATCTGAGCCCCACCTGACCTTAGCTGTGGACAAAAGCTTGGAGTTAGTATTACTGATTAACTGGGATGCCACAATATTTAATGATTATCGATTATTCCACAATTACAACGAGGCATTACAGAAACGTTTTGCTATTCATCTACTGGGAAATACAACATAGTAGTATATTTCTTAATCCACTCTGCAAACTTACAGTATCTTTTCAAGAAGGCAGCTGCAATTGGAAGACAATTTTAAGCAAACTTTACAATTCTTATAGATGCCTTTTAGATTTCATGACATGCAGCTCAACAAAATTTGGTAATAGACTGGTTATTTCTAACACAATTAACAATGTTCAAGGCTGCTGCGATTCGACCAAAGCAGTTAAAGCATGGCGGCATCTTGCACTTTGCTGTCTAAAAAAGCCCAAAAATGATTAACTATTACACAAAGATCTGACTAAACACTACAAAATAGTTTTCAATTGAAAAGTTTAAAACCTAATGGTAGGTTTTTGAGAGAGATGAAGAAACAATAAAAAGCATACAGTTTTTTTTTGCAGTAAAATGGAAAGGATGCTCAAATAATTCAAATTAAGCAAGATCAATAGCGCAGTAATGGGAGAAATTAGGGCTAAACATTTGAATTAATTGATCATTTGAATTAAGTGCCTTTGAATTGAGTAGACTGCAAATGCAAAACCAATGCAAAAGCAGCGGGAAGCAGCAACTGGTAGATGGAAAAAAAAGGCAATTACAGTGATACCTGAATAATGTTTAATTATTAAGCTAGAATAAAAGTTTAGCAATTACTTCCTTACACTAATATTATTGTTCCCAGAGGCTTTCAACATTTCTATGCCAACTTCTTCCCCCCAAACTCCAAACAAACCCTCCAGTACGTGATAAGTTCTGACCTGAAGTAGTTGGGAAACTTCAAAATTCTTATAATAATTGATGAAAATTATTTTACAAGTACTTTATGCCAGTTCATTCTTTTGAAACAATATATTTTGCATTCTAGTTTAAAACAAGATTTACATCCTATAGAGATTTAACTATTTGTTCTGCTTCAATAGCAGTTCTGGGCTTCAAATCATGCATCCTGCTTAGGCTTCCTATTAGTTTGTACCCAATGTTCAATAACAATAGTGATTTAAAAAACATTTTAAAAGTGATATGAAATTTACAGAGATGTATTTATTGCAATTAATCATAGAAACCCTACAATGCGGTAAGAGGCCATTCGATCCATTGACTCTACACAAACCACCTCCAAAGAACATCCCACCCAGACCCTGCTCCCCACCCTATCCCTGCAACACATTTACCATGGATCATCCACTTGGCAGCACATCTTTGGACTGTGGGAGGAAACCCACACACGGGGAGCACAGGCAAACTTCGCAAAGGCAGTCATTCAAGGCTGGAATCGAACCTGGGTTCCTGGTGCTGAGAAGCAGCAGTGCTAACCATTGAGACACACTGACACCTAAAACATTTATGATACTTCTACATTTTCTTAACTCAACAGTTAGCCGCTAAAGATTGGATGTGAATGTGAAATAGAATGTAAGAGTGAAAACTTATTTTGAAAACTGTAACTGGTACTCAAAAATTAATCTGGATTAACTGACTTGACAATTTCTAGCCTAGAAATTTCTAATGAACATTTGCATATACCAATGTTTCAATACACATAATATAATCAAAAAGCAGGACACTATATTATGAACAAGTAGCTTCAAAACACAGTAGACTGTAAATCAACACAAAGGCATTTTACTAAAAATGATCAAATGGGTTTTGCCCAACACTTCTTCAAAACACTAGGCTGAGCCAAAAATGCTATTGCACAAAACACCTGTGCCAAACATTTCTAATGATAATCCTGACAGATAGATAAGGAAGCCATTTACTGGATCAACAGTGGTTAAAAAGGCAGGGAGGGTACTTACACAGTGACCAAGCTAAGGAAAGCAGTAAAGGGGGAAAAAGAATAGCATACATCAGTGCAGAGCTGGTGTGGGCAACAGCATTACAGCATAGCAGTTTAGCAACCCTGAATTCTGATCACACTAACCCTTGAAAATTGTTAAAATATTGGCTAAATGAGCCCCAAACCAGATCTGGTCTTACAGCTAGTTTTGAAACATATTACTATGTAAATATCTGCTAATGCAGATTCACAAATTAAAGGAAAATTGTTATTCTATCAGTTAATAAATATTTCCACATAGGACATCTTGATGAGAAACAGGCTCTGAAGTCAACATACAGAAAAAGTCGATTCACATACTCCATCACCTGAATTAATTTAATCAGTTATAGTAGTTATGGTTTATTCATGATCATCATATTTACAATTTGGAGTCTCTAATTAATTGGAACTATGGTAATCCAACAACTAGTCAGTTTGAGAAGTATAATGCAGATGTGCTGTATTAAATATTATTTTTTCCATTTTAATTCATCACTAATCTTTGAAGAAACATGGCACATCCTCTCAGTTGAAACTAAGAACTGGTTTGCTTTAAGATGGCTGAAGTATACAACATCACCAGATTCCCTATTTCCAACACCTTTGCATAGACAAAGGCCACCTTCATAGGTAATTGCTTCTCCCTGCCTCGTTAAACAGAGGAAATGAGTTAACTGCCAGAACGTCAAATAATTTAATCACTTGAGCCACCAAACAATGGTAGAGAGAAGTTGTGTCAGATGGAAGGTTTGAGTTATAGGGAAAGGCTAGATAGGCTGGGACTTTTTCCATGAGAACGTAGGAAGTTGAGAGGTGACCTCAGGTTTATAAAATTATGAGGGGTATAGATAAGGTCAGTGGCAGGTGTCTTTTCCGTAGGACGGGGGATTTCAAGACTAGCAGACAGAAATTTTAAAAAAGACATGAGGGGCAATTTTTTTTTGTTTTAAAACACAGCAGGGTTTGCGTGTAGAATGAACTTCCTGAGGAAGTGGTGGATGTGGGCACTGTTACAACGTTCAAAAGACAGTTAGTTAAGTACATGAATAGGAAAGATTTGGAAGGATATAGGCCAAGCACCGGCAAGTGGAACTTGTTCAGTTTGGGATTATGTTCGGCATGAACTAGTTGAACCAAAGCATCTGTTTCCATGCTGTATGACGAAGTTGATCAGTTTCCTTTTGGAATCTACAAGATTTTTTAACTTCTGTTGACAAACTGAAGGAAGTTATGTGATACAACCTCTGTGGTGTGTGTTTCTGAATCCATGTAGTAGCAGAAGAGCAGAATGTGCCAGCAGCAGTAAGGAAAAACTGTCCCTTTTCTTTGTCCAAACTTTCACCAAAGATTTGAGACTCTGTGCTGAGTTCTGGAACTGTGTAAGACTAAGAACTTCTACTGAAGAAAGGCTTTGAATTTCTGAAGTCACAATTTGAGATGACAAAAGGACACACTGGCCAAGACCTTCAAACAACTGCCCTAGTTGAGAAGTCAAGACTCTGCACACAGAACATTCATTATTTTTTTCCTTCCTTTTTCTCTATTTGCACTTGGCCTTGGCCAATTGAATTTAATTTGTATTTCTGCGTGCTTGAGTTGAGTTTGTGCAGCCTGCGTTAGCAAAACAGGGACTTTGTTTCTAAAAAAACAATTCTTAATATCTTTTAAACTGCGTTGTAACCCTCTAAAACAAACAACTAACTTGTTTAACTTATGAAAACCTGTCTAGATTAGGTGTTTTTTTTCCCCAGTCTGTACATAAATGGTTAAGTATGCACATTGAATTGGCAACATAGCAGCCTAGCACGCTTTTTAAATTCTAATTTTCATAACATAAGATTTATTGATATATTCCTCCTAATGTTTAATCTACCTCAACTTGAGCAACCTTATCACAAGGACATAAGCAATACTAATGGATTTCCTGCATCTGGAATGTCAGGACAGGAATACATTTTCTTTGCAAATTAAAATACACAGTCTTTCCCAAGATTCAGTGCTTCACAGTCACCGACCTGAGCCATGCAGAACGAATTTATGCAGTTAGTTGCCATCATCTGGGACAGTAGCAGGGAAGATAAATACACTTCAGAACTGCTGAGTCAGAGATGGAAGAATCAGCTGTGATTTCCCATTATCATTGCTATGCAGGAGCTCCCAAATAAACAGAAAATTCACAATCAAATACAGATTTTGATATGACGTTCATTGCAGTCAAAAGGACTTCAGCAGTCACTGGTAAGACTTTTTTTTTTTTTTTTTTTTAAAATGAACACCGATCATTTGTTGCAGTAATCAAGGACATCTGGGACCAAACTCAAATTTTTCAGGAGAGAAACATTGTCAAGAATAACAATGAGAGAAAGTATATATTCTTCAAAATGAAATAATAACTAAGTTTAACAGAGTTGTCTGCTACTCTTTTGAAAGTTAAATTAATTCAACGAATAAAACTGTTCCTTCTTACCTCACAACTGCTCAGGTCAAGAGAAACATCCTTTAGATGAGGATTGCAAGAAAGCCCAAGTAAAAGTGCCCTGTAAAGAAAGAATTGCTTTCAAATAAATATTGCATTGTCAACTTTGACAGTACTGAAGAGAAAACACATGGGCTAAATCTTAGACAACAAGGTGCAGGGCTGGATGAACACAGCAGGCCAAGCAGCATCATAGGAGCAGAGAGGCTGACGTTTCGGGCCTAGACC